AGTAGCAGTAGTTCATTCAGCTTCATTTGTGTGTATGTTTTCACTTTCAAAAGGTGAAGAAGTCACTGCAAAGACAGTTGTTAAAGGTGGATCAGAAGACCCTGAACTCACCACCGTATATACAGTTTCTCCTACAGAGACGGAAGTATCACCTGTCACTCAGACAGCTGCAGGTAAGATGTTTATAATGCATCAAAGTATGAATAACATGCAAAGAAAAACAATAAAGATACATATGATTAGAGCAGGTGCATCGATTTTGATCCATCACAAAATGGTTTCCGGTAGTTAAAGTTAAGAATTGACCTTTCTTACAGCAGATGTTATGATTAAATAATATTATTAATGGCTACCTTCCCTTTAATGTAGGTGTTTCAGTGAGTCCCATGACTTGGCTCTGATTCTTGTTGTACCAGTTCCTCTTATGACAGGACACATTTTTGCTGTGAGACGGTTTATCAAAACTGAAAGAAAGTACAGCACCCCATTCATCCTGCATGCAGTATATTTCCCATTACTAATGACTGTTTTACATTGGTATGAGTTATCTATAATATGTTTGGATAAAGGGCACAACACAAATCCGTAAATATACAAATGTAACTTTTTTGGTGCAATATTGGGGTTACAAAAGTGGGCTGTAAAGATAGGGCACTATAATGTACTGTGCTGTCCAGTTTTTTTTGTTTGTCAAAATGTTCAATTCTGCTGTATTTGTTCTCAGTTTAATGGCAGAATATATTTTTCTTCAGGAAATGATGTGCCCTGTGATTCTACATCGGCATGTCCGGATAAGACCACCTGCTGTAAAACCATCGAAGGCCAATGGTCTTGCTGTCCTCTACCAGAGGTACATTTTCTAAGTCCTACGTTTAATGTACTAAGACTATGACATGCATGAATGACTCTTCATCTTTCTGATCATGTCAGGCTGTTTGTTGTGAAGATTTCCTTCACTGCTGCCCTAAAGGTAAGAAATGTAACCTGGCTGCTCAGACCTGTGACGACGACACATTCTCCAAATCCTGGTTCGAGAAGATACCCTCAATCCCCAGACAGGGGGCACAGGTGCAGGATGTTCCATGTGACACCCTCAAGAGCTGTCCTGATGAGACCACCTGCTGCATGACCAAAACAGGAGACTGGGCCTGCTGTCCTTTACCTAAAGTAAACACACAGAACAACATGCACACACTGATGATTTTTAAGAAACATTTTTAACCAACCTACCATCACCTAGTGTATTAAGGACAGGTAGAAAATATGGCAGAATGTGCAAAGTGTTTTTCACTTTCATGTTAAATAATTAAATAATACAATTTCGTAAGATTTAAATGAGTCAAAGAAAAGTTTCACACATTATTTTTGTTAAAGCAACAGTTCAACATTTTTGGAAATATGAAATTACATACTTACATCTCTGTAAATCTGACGCTACTACCAGCGGGCAGCTAATTACAAACCCATTTGAGTTTGCTCTCTATTGGACGTAGTAATTATGACGGGTGCAAAGGACAAAGTCTGATGATGTAGGATAAAGAGCAACAAGGTCCACCCAAGGAGCTATTGGGATTTTTCATGTTCTGTGTGAAACCAAAAGATTTTTTCCTCATGTTAATTCCTATATTCAACAATGTCACTTTGTTAAAAAGGCGGTCTGTTGTGATGACCACGAGCACTGCTGCCCTGCTCACACCACCTGTAACCTGGTGAATCAAACATGTGACGACAGCTTGGGCTTGACGCCCATGAAGCAGAAGTTACCTGCGTTTGGAACAAAGGCACCAACTACAGTGGCCACTACGGCTACAACCGAAAGTGAGGCAACCGACACTGAGCAAACAACCGAGCCTGACGAAGAGGAAGTGACTACCGCACAGCTGGAGAAACATGACGAGGAAGAGGACATTCAGTGTGACGCCCACACCAGCTGCCCTCAGTCCACCACATGCTGCTTCATGGACCAGTATCGAAAGTGGGGCTGCTGCCCGCTGAAAAAGGTGGGTACGGACCTCCAGTAACACCCAGCCTGACAACAACAAGAAATTGAACACCTTATAGCGTAAACATACCATCATAAATCTGACTACTACTACTCATAACTATTTTCAATATTAACTATCATACTTTACTTTAGTCCTCCCCTCTGTTTAGCATTTATGGAGAAGGTATAAACATTTGAGTAAAACAAATGTTAAACACCAATGCAGTTGTGAACAGATATAATGACAACATGATTGTTAATCAGTGTGTGCAGTCAACAACAGACATATTTGAAATTATTAGTTTTACTATATTTTCATACATTATCATGAGAGTCCAACAATGTGTGCCCACAAAATAAAAAATACCTTCATAAACATATCTTATCATCTCATAACTGCAATGAGAGTAGTAGTTTTAACAAGGGGGGTTACCTTGATTATTTTATTAATGAATTTAAATAGATTTTCAGTCCATGAAACAAGAGTGACCCAAGCTCTGGCTGTAACCTACAATTTCTTATTTTGTTTAGAGATTGCAAATACATTCCGAACAGAATGGTTACATGAAAGTAGCACTACCACTCTCATTTCTCCCAACAGGGTGTGTGCTGCTCTGATGGGAACCACTGCTGTCCCGAAAACTACAAGTGTAACGAGGGCAGGACCACATGCTTCAAAGGGGAAGTGGAGATCCCCTGGTACACCAAGCTTCCTGCCACCACCAGCATTGAGGCACATCCCAGCTCTGTGGAGTGCGAGGGGCAGGCTCAGTGTCCTGAAGGCACCACCTGCTGCCGACTGCAGACGGGCGAGTGGGGCTGCTGCCCGCTACAAAATGTGAGCGCTGGGTGTGGAGATAACTGTATAAGAGACACTATCAAATTCAAATAACCTTAATTTGCATGACATATCAGAACACCTATATTGCCGAAAGCAGTAGAGAAAAGTACCATTGACGAATGATTAGCAGTAGCGTAATATTCATTCATCAAGTCAAATGTAGTCATTTGACAACAATAAAGAATATGGACAGCTGTATAATTTCTTGAGGGGTAATAACTCAGACACATTTAACACATATCTTGTTTCTCTAAGTATATGTTAACAGTACATCTATTTTGCAGCCAACTCGGCACATTTATTTTCTCCTGACATATGGCAGTATTTGAGGATCGGGAAGAGGGATAAACATACATACATATACATACCTCTTTCTATTAGGTCTCAACCCCTCTTTTATGAGAAAGGGAATACAACCTGGCCTACCAGTGCATTATCTTTGTCAGGGTTTGCTTATGTAAAGCAGTGGAAGTAAGTTTCTTGAACCGTGTGCATATGTGTCCGCAGGCTGTGTGCTGCACAGATAAGGAGCACTGCTGCCCGCAGGGTTACACCTGCAACATTGGCTCTAACTCCTGTCAGAAGCTTATCATGCTGCAGCTGGAGACCGTCCCTCTAACACTGGTGTATCTGCTCGAGCAAAAACCCCTGCTCCTTCCCTCTAACAAAAGAGACGTCAAGTGTGATGAAACTACCAGCTGTCCAGACGGAGAGACCTGCTGCAAGCTATCTCCAACTGAATGGGGCTGCTGTCCATTTCCTAATGTATGATACACTGTCATAACTTTGCATTGATCACATTGTTTTTTTTACTTGAACTGAAGAGATGTAGAAATACAATGAGCAATATTATTGCATATAAGTAACAAACAAAACAGACATGTGAATTCACTCTTAGTAGCTATAACAATAATATCAATGTGTAGATACACATGAATATTTGCTTTCTCGCAGAGAGTTAGATTAGAAGCCTAACAACACTCTCATGCTCAAAAATATAAAATATATAATAGGCTTGATGTATAACATCATCAATTGCAATTGATGACATTAGCCAACACTATGAAGTCAAAATTAGCCCCAGCTACAACATTAAAATGCTATGTATTCAAAGAAAATAGTACAATTTTAATGAGAGCTTGTACATCTGTGCTTTTTCTTAAGTAGTGCTCGAGAAGCTGTTATTTACTTGTAATAGAGTATGTTTTTACTTAACAGTGTTACCTTCCTCCCTCTGTCCTCTTCACAGGGGGTGTGCTGCAGCGACATGATGCACTGCTGTCCCCAGGGCTACACCTGCACTGACACTGGAGACTGCACCCAGAACGCCAGGGTCTACTGGCAGTACTGGAACGTGTTCCTCGCAAACAAAAAGAGAGCTCTTATTGTGTGAAAAAAAATCCTTCCTGCACTGTCATTTGTTTCTGCCTGCAATTCGCTTATGGGAAATAATGTGGAAAGGAGTTAAAGGGTGAAGGTGACACATTGAAATTGAATTGCACTTGAGGTTATGATGTTCTGCAACAACTACTACATGCAAGAAGATCAGGGCATTGGCATTTTAATAACTAATGTAAAGGTCAAATGGATCCTTGTTAATCCAAGCTGCTTGAAACTCCACCTTATCCATTAAAACACTCAGGTTATGATTGTATTCACTCTGAATCATCTGTTTCTGTATGTTATGCTTCAGCTGCCTCTCAACTTCTTTTATCAATAATCAGCCAAAATTCTGGGTATAATTTGACATAATTGTATGATTATAATGTATGTGATTCCACCTAAATATATAAATGAATCTGATGCTGTACTGTTATCTACTTTATAGAGATATTTGTGGCATAATCTGTAATAAGATATTATCTTCAAGAGTTTTGTTGATCTTTCTTTAAAAAGATTAAGAAGTTACATGCACTGTTCTGCTCGATCTGCATAAAACCATAAAACTAATAAATAACATGCTACAACAATAAAAAGGTATCAAACCATTCCTGTGTGAAATATATGTTTCTATCAAAAGAAACAGGGTGAAGGAAAAGAGGAAGACAAATAATTAAACAATAGTTTTTTTTATTATCCAGCATCTGTGATTGTGGGTTTATTATTTGGGATTATGGGTCCTTCCTTTATGAGCAGTGTAAAACCATGTAGGCTCTGATTAAACATGTTTTGAATTTATAGCAATTAAATATAGTCTATAAAATAAATATCCATACCACACAAACATTGTTGATAATCACAGGGGAAATTCAACTGTTAAAACAAGAGTCGAGGTGAAAAAATGAAAAGTAGCCTACTATTTGAATGACGTTATTAGAAAATGTGATGACAAATTAAATAAGAACGTGTGCGTGTGTGTGTACCATAGACTGTAGGTGTATACACACACATCAGGACATTATAAAATTGCCATCCAATATGAATTTTGTAATTGTGCTATCGCTACATAATTAAGTTGAGGATCTAAGTAAGTACGTTTTAAATTAGAGTTTAATGACTTTTAAGTAGCATGAATGCTTTTATTGTGAAGCCGAAATGCTTGACTTCCGGTTTTCCTAGTGAGTTTGACGTATCTCCGTTTTGACGTATGAATCATCCTTCCCAAGATGGCGATACACCTGTTTCTCCTGTGGTGATCCTTGTTGTTGTCTGCGCAACGTAAGAAAACAAAGCATCAGGAACAGACTGTTAAAAAACTAAAGACGCTGATAAACAACTGTATTCAAGTCCTTTAGCTAAAATGTCGACAGAGGAGCTGTCAGCCTCGGACAGTGAGGCTGTGTTAGCCGGAGCAGGGGAGCGCTGGGCACCGGTCGGAGCGGTGGCCAGCCCGGAGGATGAGAGGTGGAGCGCTGGGCAGCCGAAGCACAGAGGCTCGTCCACGGCCACCGAGGGAGAAATGGCCGGCAGGCTGGAGAAGCTGGAAGGGGAGCAGGACTTGCTGAACTCCTCTCTCCTCGCCCTCACCTCACACTTTGCCCAGGTTCAGTTCCGATTGAAGCAGATCGTTCACGCCCAGAGCGACGAGAAGGAGAAGATGCTGGTGGAGCTGGAGGAGTTCGCCTTCAGGGGCTGTCCTCATGTGGTGGGCTGCAGGGGGCCGGATGCCCAGCAGCTGGAGAACTCGGTGAGTTAATGCTCATGACTTGATACCACATAACATGATATAAACACTGTGGTGAGTGATGATGATACACATTCGTCATAAACACTCTTGAATGCATGCCAGAAAAATATGTGTCAGAAACATGTATGTCAAATAAAATAATATATTAGAACCATCCATGCTACAGGTGTCTGAGTCTCTGACAGGAACTGGAATAGTTCAATTAATCCATTCGTTAACTGTGAAACAATAGTTACAACTATTGCATAACAAAAACAGCTAATTGATGAGTTGCTGTGTTTTGTTTTTAGGCTAAGTGCATAATTGTCCCTCCGTCCAGCCTCTTTCCTGTGAGAATGTAGGGCTTTTCTTTGTCTTATGTTACATTTTGTGCATTTTATATGGTCAAAGACTGTGAGTTCGACAAAACATCCAGTTTGCAAATGCCCAGGTATGTGTATATTCAGGCAAATGCCCAGTGAGTCTCATTAACTATAGTGATTCACCTCAGTGGTTGTGAGGTTTGTGAGTAAAACTGATTAAAGTGGGCTTGTTGCGTCACAAAAGAGGCTGCTGCTCCCACCTCTGCTGTGTTCCCATTGATGCCTTATCTCGGGTGGAAAATGTCGCTTTTCTGTTGACTCACAGGCGAAATGAAAATGCCTCAAGCAGATCACTATCTGTTTAATAAAGGCTCCTATTTACAAAGCCTTCTTAATAGAAACTGCTTTTCCCCTGCCATTGTGTACTACTCCATGCCTCTTTACACTCACTCTCAACTGAAGTAACGTCTCAGTTAACAATGGTTTGAAATTATTTTCCATCACAAACCACACCCTAAAGGTATTTTTATTTAATTTCTCCCCTATTGCATACTTTACCTGCAGGGGGATCTGGTGAGTATAACACCTGATGTCTCTGTGAGAGTTTGTTTTGTGTAAATGTTGTGACTCAAGAACTGAAAGTCGCAGCTGTGTATATATTAAACTGCTAATAATAATAGAACGTATATTTAAGGCACCTTTCATACAAGAATGGAGCATAAAGGGTTTTAGAATAAGGAGAAAATACACACAAAAGGGACATAAACAGCTTTAACTTTCTCAAAATATTGATTTTGTTATCAGTAGTAGAAATCCTACATTGGTCCAGATCTAGTACATTATGTTACAGTGGTCACTCTCCCCTCTTCGTGTGTACAAATCAAAATCATTGTGTATGTTTTGCCTGTCAGAATGAGAGGGAGAAGAGGGAGCGCCTGGAGGCTCAGAGGGAAAAACAGAAGGATCTCATTTTCCAACTGAAGACACAGCTAGATGACCTGGAGCGCTTTGCCTATCAGGAGGGCAGCTACGACTCGCTGCCGCAGTCCGTCGTCATGGAGAGACAGAAGGTGGGATTGTGAACATGTACCAATGCTAAATTCAACATTTAAAACTGGGTTCATCCTGTCACGTGTTGAGGTGTCATACCAGCTAGAAGTTGTCTAACCTTTAATCCTCATACTTACAATGATACTTAATACAACATAACAAATGAAAAGCCTAAAAGATATAATCTACCATCCAAATGATCACACATAATGACATGGTGTCTACCTGTTTTAGATCAGGTTTAAAATGCTTCAGGGTTTTGTATTTTTCTTACATGTTATATTTGACAAACCTGTCCAAATACATTCGGGCCATTCAAAACCTGCTTTCAGATTAAGTTTCCAATTTGCTGATTGTCAGCTGGTTTGATATTTAACATGTTCAACATCAGAGTTGACATTGTTAGCATGTTAACGTTTGATAATTGGCAGCAGATACAAAGTAGCCTACAGTTTAGGCTGATGAGAACAATGTTAGTTTTTCTAGCGTTGTCTTTTAAACAAGTTTATTACTTTAACCTGAGAGGGATGAAAAGTCTGCAATTCAACTTCTGGAGACAAAACAACACACTATAAATCTACCACTTTAAGCTTGGGTAATACCCAACAATACATTCACTTCTCTGTCTTTTCAGGTCATCATTGACGAGTTGATCAAAAAGCTGGATGTGAACCTGAACGAGGACATCGGGAACTTGTCGTCTGAGGAGCTGAGACAGAGAGTGGACTCGGCCATCGCTCAGATAGTGAACCCAGCCAGGGTCAAAGAGCAGCTGGTGGATCAGCTCAAAACCCAGATCAGAGACCTGGAGATGTTCATCAACTTCATCCAGGGTACGCAGTCCCATACGCAGTACAAACTGTCATTCAAGTGGAAAATGGTTTCTTGTTTCATTGCATGGCCTGCTCATTTGTCTTCATGTCTTACTTTTTCTTATTATTGGTTTAATGACCTTGCTTTTCATTCCAAAAGACGAGGTGGGGAACCCTCTGTTACCAGATGGTGCACACAGCCAGCAGCCACGAGCAGCAGGCACCAACAACAAAACTCCAGGAATGAAGAGAGGTTAGTCAGTTCATATCGAAGTCTAACGGCAGGTGCCATTAATGATTGTAGTAACAAAACGAGTAGCAGACTGATATGTGAGTACTCGCATCAAAACATACTTGAGGAACTGAATTTAAAAGTAATTATTATGCAAAATGCCCCCCCTGCAGTGGATCCAGAGCAGGCCCAGAAGATGCGAGAGACCGGCCTGCAGCTGATCCAGAAGGCCCTCGCCATTCTGCAGATCTTCGCCGCGAGCCAGTTTGGCTGCGCGCCCGGCCACGTCCCTCAGAACATTTGGCCTCAGGAGTCGGCGCAGCAGGACTACGGGCCCCTGCTGCAGCGTCTGGAGACAGCTGTGGACAAGGTGCGGGTGCTGGGCTCCTGCAGACAGCCCTCAATTGAACATGTTGTTAACTACACCAGCAACTCGGCGCTGGGACCCCGAGACGAGCTGACGTCGTCGGTGAGGAAGGAGCTGGCGTTCGCTCTGAAAGACCTGTTGGCTCACGGCCTCTTCTCCCCCTCCCAGACAATGAGCCTGGTGCTGGCTCCTATCTCCTGCCTGCTGCCTTACCCTACAGCCACACAGAACATGCACCCATGGGAGCTCTTTGTTAAATACTACCACTCCAAAAATGGGAAGGCCTTTGTGGAGACGCCGGCACGCCAGCTTTCACAATCCTTCAGCCTGCATGTAGGGGGCGGCCCGGTGACCGTCACCCCTAAACAATCTCTGCTGTGGGCCGTCCACACTGTGCTGAAGGAGCACGGGCGCTACAAACGGGGCCCAGACACAGAGTTCAAAGCGCTGGTGTGCATGGCTCTGAACGAGCAGCGCCTGGTGTCGTGGCTCAACCTGCTGTGCAAGTCTGGCACTCTGATACACCCGCACTACCAGGCCTGGAGCTACATGGCCCAGACTGGCTTCGAAGGCGCCCTGCGCATCCTGGGCCGCATCAGCCACCTCAAATTCAACCTCCCAGTGGACCTGGCTGTGCGGCAGCTGAAGAATATTAAGGATGCTTTCTGAGTAGGAAAGACATCCCTAAATAGTAGTCTGAGATATCAAGTATTTTATCAACCAAACTACACTTCTCTTACTTCAGTACCAAAAGCATTTCACCTTAGTTAAGAAGTTCCCCATCTTAAATAAAGGGCAAGTATGTGGTGTCTGTACATGCATGGATGACTCTGTTGTGTGAGCTTCAGCCAAACATAATCAGTATTTCCCACCATGTTAAAGATGCCAACATGTCATGATGGCAAAGCCACTTGTACTGTAAACATGCCTTAGAGATTTCCTCGTGTGTAGAGAAAAGCCTTCCTGACCTTTGCGACCTGTGCTCATCTTACTGTCATCATTCCCCTGTGTGTACATGATACTGTCCTCACTTATGCAGCGACTACAGAGGTTGGATATATACATACATGCATATATATGTACATATACACGTATATAAATGAAAAAATACTTTAATGTGTAAGGATGAAGAAAATGAATGAGCAAAAACTCGATACTGTGGCTTCTACACAGTAACAAGAGATTGTTAGGTGTAAAGTGGTCCTTGTGTTCAAAGTGAACTCAACTCAACTTTATCGATATAGCAGCTTTCTAACAAATAGCCAATAATGATTCAAAGAGCAAGATTATATCAACAGACAAAAACAATCAATAGATACTTTTTTTAAAGAACATGAAAGCAAAATGCCAAAGTCAAGACCAAAATCAACACCAGGAAATATTCAATTGATTCATTCTGAAAAATAAGGTTATTAAAATATTTAAAATTCCAGTAAATTTGTATTGCACACATTCGTAACATTTTAAAGAAAATAATTGGAGAACGTTAGTAATCTGTGGCTAACATAACAAGAAAAAACATCTGATCCAAGGAGGAGAAAGGCAATTTAAGGCTCCATAAACAAGTGATTTTATAAAATAAAGCATAATAAGTCAATGAAAAGTACAGTGACTTCTGTGAGGGTATTTATTATTTTGTTGGTAAATCATGTGTAGCAGATGGCTGATCCTAAAGCACTCAGGTCAACTAAAATGAAAAAGATATCCGTGGAACTTGAAGTTACTGTGTTGTGTAACATTGTCAAGGAACATGCAGCTATCAATGACTACATTTTAAACCTCTGAATCTGTTGTCACTTCTTGCACTTGTGTTGCAGGTGAGTTAGACCCTGTATGAACTGCTGCTTTTCTCTTATTCCAGGTGTAGATATATTTTAAATTGAATGACAGTGATATTGTATGATAAGAAGGATGCAATGGTGTATGACCCCAACATAACACAATTGAAGGAAAGTCATTGGTTTGTCTTGTTTCCTATTTTGCAGAGATATGTATTTTTTCTTCCTGAGACAGCTGAATTGCATTAATCATATCCTTAAATACTGAATGTACAAACCATAGATGCTACTAAACTGACGTTTAGTTACATTTGTGTGTATTTTGCCCTGCTGTGTATGGGATTGAAACTTAGGTGATCCTGGGCCAACATGTATGTGTCAAACGTCTGAGTATGCGTGTTGATAAAATATAACTTTATTTTGTCTTTCCCAAGAAACAAACCTGTGCACTTTGTAAGTTGAGTTCCCCTGAAGACACATTTTTAGAATTTATTTTATGTTACTTTGTCAATTTAAACTTTGTGTTCAGTTTGAGCTATGTGGTGTAAATGTAATGCTATATTTATCTTTCTATTTTCCTTATTTTTTGTTGTGTTTTGTTCAGGTGTTACGTTGTGATTAATGTGAAGAGACATCTATTTATTGCATAGCATGTTTTAACTCAGCTCTGAAGTAGACAGCATATCAGAATATGTCGTACTAGACACATTGAATCATTTATTTATGTTGTTTTTATTTAATCACAAAATATATAAGGATATATGAAAGGTGTTCATTTTGTTTGATTTATCATGTTTATATGCATACCTACCGCTGTAAACAAATTAAACTTAGTAAATGAAACATTGTGCTTCTTTTGAGTCTTTATCTTTCCATTTTGATAGAAATCGAATAAAAAAGCATAGGTAGCGAAGTACGAAGGCCTTCGGGAATACTATTGATTTGTAAAACATAAAAGTGATTTATTAAATCATTTAAGTAAATCACTAAAGTAAAAGTAATTTAAACACAAGAAAAGTACTTGAGTAAATGTACTAAGTGACATCCCACCATTGGTTTTAAAGCATTTAAAATATTGTATCCTTCCTCCTTATATTTTAGATCTATAACAGTAAACATATTTTACTGAATATTTTTAACATTGTGTGTATAAAATCCAAAAAAGAAAATTCAGCAATATAAGCAATGAGTCATGCATTTGCCTTTTAGAGAAATAAATAAAACAAAAATACTCCCGGAAGTGACGTATGTCGATCCAACCCGTCAAAGGTCACAAATTCCTTTTCCGCTTCCTTTCCTGTTAGCGGTGGCCGTAGAACAGCATCAGTGAGTGCAATTTCCTTTAAACAATCTACAGACATCGCTCAAATCTGGGCAATTTCATAGTTTTTATCGTACAACACTTAAGACTATAACTCCTTTAACCAACATGAGTCTGTTATTTCGGTGTATTTTTTATGGACTAATGCAGAAAAATCCCTCTTTAGTGCAACGCTTCGTCTCCGTAGCACCCATTTCAATATGGCAGTTTTTACCTGAGCAGCCTGTTCAAGGAGCACGTTATTCTAATGATTAGACTGTAGTATATTGGGTTGTATCGACATGATTTAAGCAGCGGTTATCGTACCAGTACCGTCTGTAAAAGTTCATTTTTTAAGTTTCTTGAATCAGTGTTACTTGTTAACCATGGCTAGATGCTAATGCTAACCTAGCCAGCTAATCAGGCAGCAACAGCGAGCTGGAAACTGGAAATCTCTCCAGCTTTAACATTTGAGTTGGCAATGTTTACACACGTTTTTCTTTGTTATTGAATAACTGCTGTAGTTCAGGGGTTTGACAATGTATTCTTTTTGTGGTAGGAATGGGCAAGTTCATGAAGCCTGGGAAGGTGGTGATGGTCCTAGCTGGACGCTACGCCGGACGCAAAGCTGTTATCGTCAAGGTAAGACCTGGCTCTGCTGGATGGTGTCTGCAGCTTTTTAAGTGCAAAAACAGCTTTCTCTTAATGTTATGTACACGTTCAGCGCAGGCCTTTAGTAGTTCATCTCTGACCTGCTTCCTATGTCCATCTCCAATACTTTTAACCCCCTTTTCAGCTTGCTTTCTTTTGTATATAAAGATATATAAAACAATAGTCTTGCAACACATCCCGACTCATTAACTATTTTACTGTTAAAACGAGTTTTTGTTAATAATTGGGCTCTATACTTTTCTTAAATGTTCTGTATATTGTAGTTGGATGTTTGTTTACACTGCAGCTTCTTATTTTTTAGCTGTATTCATGTATGTACAGGCCACAACAAAAGTAACTCATTCATTGTATATGTGCTAGGGCTGCACAATTTTAGGTGAAATCCTCCCAATGTTTTGTTGGCAATACAAAAGAAGCTTAGTGCTTGTCAGGAAAGACCATTATTTTCAAACCTAACTTATTTCTATATACATGTTGTTTCTTTTTGCAACAAAATCACTCATTTTAAAGTTGTAGTTGACCAAAAGCGAGGCCTGTTTTTGTTTGATAAATGGTCAAAGTATTAATGAGTTGTTGGTGGCTGGCTTTGCATGTAGGGACTTAACGTCACTGACTAGTAACAAGCAGTTTATCATTGAACCCTCACATTTGAGTAACATATTAGGTCAATTTATATTTATATTTTATATTCATTTTCTGTCTAACATCAGCCCCTTTTTTATGCTGTCTCTGCAGAACATTGATGATGGCACAACAGACCGTCCTTACAGCCACGCTCTGGTCGCAGGCATCGACCGCTATCCCCGTAAGGTGACAACCACCATGGGCAAGAAGAAGATCGCCAAGAGGTCCAAGATCAAGGCCTTCGTCAAGGTGTTCAACTACAACCACCTCATGCCAACCAGGTAAGAGACTTTGCTTATTTTCTGTGACGGGATATTCTGTTGGGTAACTTATTTACTTATTATTAATTTGTATTATTATTTACTTGCATGCGCATAGATTAAGTGCTTATTCTCCAGTGTGGCAGTGTTGGTGATAATGCAATATGTTCTGCAGAATGAATTGATACACTTCAAAGCTTATTACAGCCATTACACCCTGGTAAAAGAATAGCAGTTGTGTTATATTATTGTTTTGTCCTTTGATAATTAAATCGGAGGTACTAACTACAACTTCCACGCTTAATTTCATTAAACATAGCTTGCCTCTTTGATACTTTAGACCATAGCTTATAAAGTTCTGTTCTAGACAAACCTTAAGCTGTTGAACCATGATTACATTATCATTTAATGTTCTTCCTATAGAAGTAAAAACACTTTCAGAAACTGAGTCACTGGTTTTGGTATAGCTCAGGCCAGGTCAGTTGAGCTGTATTATATTTGAAAGATCATATGTTGTGAAGGTTAGATTAAAAGCAAAACATAAATTTGAAGTCATTTGAATTGTGTAAAGAAATAAAATCTGGATTTTAATTGGATACATGTCATTCAGCAGCAATCCTGTACATGGCTAAAGATATTTCGGAGCCCAGTCTGATGTTTACAAAAGTTAGATGTGCCTAAATTCAGACTGTATAGAAAGCTGCATACCGTTCATTTCTCTTTATTTGCTAGATTTAAACTGAAAGGCTCATACAGATGTGGGTCGTCTGAAGTCATTGCATGTGTTATCAATCTGAGCCGTGACAAAGTACCAACAAGCTTCTCAAATAAATAAACTGCTCGATAAACAATCCTGGATAAGTGGAGGATCTGAAAAAACTATTAACAATTGTTTTCCGTTTCCTTCAGATACTCCGTGGATATTCCTCTGGACAAAACTGTTGTTAACAAGGATGTCTTCAGGGACCCTGCTCTCAAGCGCAAAGCCAGGCGGGAGGCCAAGGTCAAGTTTGAGGAGAGGTGAGTTTGCAAACAGCATCTAATCCACATGTTCAGTTGTGTCAGCAGTATACATTTGGTTTAGTTAAAATGATCTGCACTTCTCTAAGCTAACCTCTTTAAAGACAATATCGTTTTTGGGTACATGGGACTGGATTTCTTTTAAATCTATTTTTGAGGGGAAATCTGTTAAATATCAAAGATGTGTACAAGGGTAGATTAGGAAATAATTCTGATTTAAAAAAAAAAGATTTTTAATACATTTTTATTATATAAACATGCTGTCGGTGATATGCCACACCTTATATCCTGTGGGGATAGAAATCCCATCACTCAAACAAACATCTATTTTGTGACTTAATAATTTAAGTGCAATAAATCCTGATATACATTCATTAGTAATTGAACCAAAAAGCCATCCAGTTGCTGCACTGTGGTTTCTTAGAACTGAACTTGAAGTGTAGTTTGCAAATGTATCAACACTTTCACCCCTCAGATCGGTGAAGTGTTTTCAGAGAAAATGTGCCAACGTGTTTCTGTTCTGTTTTTCAGGTACAAGACCGGCAAGAACAAGTGGTTCTTCCAGAAGCTCCGATTCTAACTTCACTCGCTTTCACAAATAAATGTTTAAAAATTGATTTTGACTGTTGTCTCTTTATTTCTGTAACATACATGTTTTGGACGAAGTTTTTATTTTTTACTGCACTGCATTAATTCAACATGGGTTCCTTTGTAGATTCATATTAATGCTAAATGGGTTGGAATAATTAATTGTATATAATATGCTACAATACATGGTATATGATTTTCACCAGCATGACCAGCTTCATCATTAAAGGGATACATTCTTCAATGGCTATACCCAACAAGTCTGCACGAGTACTTTACTTTTTGAAGCTTACAGGTGTACTTTTCTTTTAGAAATAACTTGTAATAGTACTTGTTAGGGAATCATTTGCTTAGGTGTTCAACCTTTGACACAGTTCATCATTTTCTCCTTTCACTGTCTCTTTGCCCATGGCATAGTTCTACGGCCTTGGGTATTGCTGGTATCTCCTAAGGAGGGGCAGCTTGGGCGCATTGTTGTTAGCTAATGACCGAGCACAAGCTGACATGAGAGTTTATTGTTCAGGGACATCTAGGGGCCCTTTTATCTGGAACGTAGGTTCCCTGGTGCACATTCTTTTCTATGGACGACAGCTCTAGTTAGATTCAGGGTCCATATTTGTTTAGTCTCGCTGATGATGAATGTTGATTATTACACTCCGAACTAGTTAAAACCTTGAACTACAGAACAGTGCTTCACAATTGATTTGGTATCTCAACTCGTGGATCATGTCTTGTGAATTCTCCGGCCGAAGCTCCAAATAAACAGTCAGTGTTTGCGATCAAAGTTCCAGCTCTCCTTGTGTCTCTCGGAGTCCTGTTTTCAATTGCTTCAGAAGTTTCCCTCACAGTACTATGCACTGTAGTAAAATGCTTGAATACTACTTCCTCAATGTGAAGTAGTGTATCTAGTCTAATTTCCCTCCGTTTACTGTAAACGGTGTTTTCACATCACTGCATTGATTTGCTGTCGCTTGTTCAAATGAGTTGGAAGTTATTTAATAAAAACCGACATTTCATCAGGGAAAATGCTACATTTTCAATGAAGTATTTATGAATTATTGGAAAATGACAAATGCCTGTATTACAATGCTGTATTGATTTGGGGCACTTGATCACATGACATGGCATTTAGTCAAGAACATTTTCTTTGCAGTAGAAAAATGCAGACTTTTCAATAAAAGATGACAAAAAGCTAATCAAGATAAAAAAAGATTGGTCTACACGTCAGGTGTAGTTTTACAATGCTGCATTGATTTTGAGTGGCGTTGTCAGATGACATGGAAGCTGATACAAAACAAATTACTTTTCAAAATGAAAATTCTGGACTCAATAAAATACTTGAATAAAATATAGGAAAACACTAAACTCGAATTAAAAGAGAGCGTCCTACTGGTCCACGTGGTTGTAACAATGGTGCAGTAACAGTTAAAGTGACACCACAGCAGCGCCCCTGATGGAAGAACAACACATCTATCTGATGTGGAAATGAAACCGAAACAATCTGACTTCTTCACAAAACCACAACATCGTCGACAGCAGGTAAATTCTTATCCAACCGCGTTTTAATGACTTGATTTAGCCAACTTTGTTCAGCACAATACAACAACAAAAATGTCAGATGTGAAAGTCTCGCGCAAAGTGACTTATTCAAAGTTATTTTTCACCTATGTTAAATGTTGAGACTGCGTTTTGTTTATATCTTAAAAGTAGGGCCTTCAGTGTCTTCAGCTTTATGGTTCAACTCTTGTTTTTCCTTTTTGACACGCATTGTTTTATTAGACATTTGTTAATATGTTGCTTCATACACCGACTCTGACAGATAAACTATATTTTGTACATTTTTCAGATCACTTTCGCTATGTCTTCCGATGAGGTAAGTCATCATGTTCTTGTTCTTTCCTCTTGTTAAAAAGAAATATTACACGGAATACTTTTCTAAATGTATCTTTATTTTTCGTGTTAAATACTTTTTATCTATGGGTTGTTTTATTACACACTTGTTTTCAGAGTTTAAATAAGTAATCAGATATTTTACCAAAGTGAAAGAATAAATACTAAACTGTAGAAGTAAAAGTTATGCTTTCGAAGTAAAATTAAAGGTATAAGCATCAAATTGTCCTAAAGTAGATTTGTCCATTTTAGAACTTTAGAGATATTAAGTAGAACTAAAGATGTAAATGTACTGTAGTGGATTAAAAAGTACAATATATATACAAAATATATAAATATTTTATATATATTTACAATTTTTCAATAAAAAACAATACAATTAGGAAAGCATTTGTACTTAGGTACAGTACTCGAGGCACTCTGTACTTACCACCACTGATAATTATTATTTCACTTGTTGTAACAATAGTAATTTATCCTCAAAAACGGTCTACTTTCTTTCTATATTTTCTTTGCGCCTATCGTGTGTCTTTGTGTTTCAGGATTTCTCTCTGGTTATCCCACCACCATCCGAGGAAACCTTGGAGAGCATCAAGGCTTCAATCAACAAACACAAGGTGCACTGATAAATACATTGATGTTTCTTTAGCCTGTGGTTGAACTAGTAACTGCATACAATTAACCAACCGACAAAGACCACTCAGAAAAAGATAATTATTGAACACAAAAATATCATAATGAATGTTCCAACAAACACAAATGAGTGTACGGCAGAATGTGCGCAGGTAGCTAAACACAGGCAGGTCAGACAGGTTATTACTGACAGCCACACATACTATTGTATTCATGCTTACACTCTTTCAACTCTGTAAGACACAACTTATGTTGAATATTATTTATGTTATTTTAATTACCAAAGAAACCCAAACTCTAATATTGAAGTCAAAATTATTTTTAGCAGGTGACTACAGCTGCACATAGGCTTTCCTTAATGGCATGTATTAAGCCTTCAGAAAGTGCTAGAAAAAAAATGAGAATAGAATAATTGGACACTTTAAGGCCTTAAATGAAGGCATTGAAGTGAAAATTACATTGCCACTGAATTAAGCGGAAATCAAAGAGGAAAATACAGAGGGTTTGTGTAGCGCTGAAGACTCTAAAGTATGTATAAAAGGATGCAGATGAATCATCCTACGTTAGTTATGTGTTTATGTTGCTTGTACATGCAATAGAAAACAGAAACCTAAAAGTGGTTAGTGAAAGCATCTTGTGCGCCCACAGAAAAAACATGAGCAGCTGATCCAGGAGCAGGAGGAGCTGGTCGCCTGCAGGAATGACCAGCAGGACATGGCTGAGCAGTTTAGACAGCGCTCTATAAAACTGAACCAGAAAAGAAAAGAGGACCAACGCTCACGCGAAGAGCAGATGGAAAATGATAAGGTATCCATGCTTTGATGCTAGTCGCTCACCTTAAATCTCAGCTAAAGATGTGTAACTTTTTCGTACAACAAGCCAATCATTGCTCAAAATGACTCTTAGACAAGTGTGAAGTGGACACTTGAAACTTGCAGTGGACAACAATATACTTAAGAGGAGGTTAAACAAACAAACATAAATTATTTCTTTTAATAAATTTTTTGGGAACTGTTTTTTTCTTTTTTTTACAAATCAAGACATATCCTGACATTGGACTTTTCCATTCAAATGACAAATATGGTAAAACAGAATATAAAATAAAATAAAGTAAAAAATAAAATCCAAATTAAGTTTAACTGTTACAAGTTAAAATAAGGAAAGAAATAAGATAATTATAACAAATAAATTAATAATAGTAAAGTAAATAAACGCATTTTACACAAGGAGAGACATCTTTAGCAGAGCAGAATCGGTTACACAGGGACATTTTCCATAATGTTCTTTTGAAACTCACAAATTATTTTTTTAATTATAATTTTTATTTCTAATATGGTCCAAATAGGACCAGGAAAAGTAACTGTGGCTATCTGACAACTTTAACATGTTATTATAATTTATAACATCTAATTTGTTCTTCACTGCACTCTGGTGGTTGGACTTTTAATAGAGCTACAATTCTGGCCCTGTCCCAGGTGTTTTCCCATCAGCTGTTAGAGGTATAACAAGTGATAATCATCAGGAAATCAGAAGTGCACAACAGCTTTCAACCAACAACCAATAAAGCCGTACAGAATCATGTAAAGAATCAGCAGGATTTAATGAATCAACACTTTACTCTTTCTATTTCTGGAACTTTAATCCAATGTTTATAAATATACTTTGTCTTTGAGCATTATTTAGAATTTTTAATTATTATTTCAATGTGGTTAAGAATTAAAAATGAAAAAAAAGGGCGTTATCAAAATCAGTATAATCGCAGTAAATATAGATGAATGAGGATATAAAAAATGGCTTGCCAAATTCTCATTTTTAATTAGTTTACCACTAATTAAATATAAAATGTCACTTTTCCTCAGTACTGTGTTGTAGCTGAAGTCTTTCTTTTTTGGCAGGCTAAGATAAAGTTGGGGCAGCAGGAAGAGAGTGACCTGATGGAGCAGATCCTGCGAGTGGAGGAACTACTAGAGCAGGAAAAAGCCAGAAACCTCCATCTGAAACAGCAGAATGACGTACGTTCATGAACTCAACACGCTGCCTGCAGTCAGTCCATCACACGTCCTGTAAACCTGCACCTTTTCATTTCAGGTGTTCTCTGCTGTGCCTGAGCGGAAGGTCGCCTTCACCGGCTTGACAGGAAAGGAAGGCGACGGACAAGAATTTGATATGGAGACAAATATAGTTTACCCGATGGAGGGCGGGACGGCATTCATTACATTTGAGGAAGAAGTAGGTGAGTCTGTCAGCGAGCTGCTGCCGGTCACACAGAAACATATTTGTGATGTGATGTACACAGGTTCATAGAATATTCCTAAAACCCAAATAATATTGGCAAGTCTGAATCGGAAAATGACACCTTTGGAGCATTTGGTGTACGCTTATTTGAAATGTGCTCACTTTAAAGGTCTCCTATTATACTCTGTTTAGGCATATATTATAGGTCTCAGATATATAAACAGATATATGTCTCTGAAGTGTTTTGCTCAAAATACCAAACAGATCACCCATTCTAGCCATGCCTCATACCCCTGTATTTCAGCCCTGTTAGAGAAGTGCTGATTCCTGGCCCGTAGCTTTAAAAAAATAAAATAAAAAATACGAGAGCCGAGACGAAAGCTCATGCAGGATCATTCTACCGGCAGATATAGCTAAATGCTGCTGTGATTAAATGCCGTATTATGTCCTTTATCCCAGTAAATGGTCTGATAAGGGACTGGTAGTGCTGATACAACTCTGTATTTATCTGTCATCAGTGGCCAGTAATATCCTGAAGATGCAGAAGCATGAGGTGAAGGTGGGGGCAGGCTGCAGGATCACTGTGGAGGCCCGGCAAGTTCATCTGTTGCTGCCCCGGCTGGTGGAGGTACGACGCAGAGCCTTTAATAAATGTTTGACTGATCAGTTTTTGTATGAATTTCCTGTGAGTGATATGTGCTCACCTGTCCGTCCTACAGATCGACTCTGAAGTGAGTTCTCAGCACATATTAATCTCCAGCCTGCCCAAAATGGAGATTGAGCCGCTGCTCAACAAGCTGGAGATCCACTTCTCCAAGACTAAACACGGAGGAGGAGAGGTGGAGAAGTGTGAGATGCTGCCTGACTCCTGGACCGTGGCCCTTACCTTTGTGAAGAATGACAGTGAGCAAGCTTCTGTTCTTTGTACTTTAATACTGACGCTACGGTGGAACGTAGTTTCAGCTCAATGTTATTAACAGGAAGTTCATTTTAGAGGTAATTCTTTTTTTATATCTAAATGGTCAGATAAAATAAATAATTAACAATAAGGCATTCAATGAATGATTAACCGAATGTGTACACAGTTATATTAATACATCGGTTTTATATGTGTTTACTCTATTTTCTATATGTTATATATTTTTTAAAACGTATTCCCCTGAGTTCATACAGTCTCTCTCATATTTCAAACCTTTGAGGTACAGTTAGGAGGCACATTAGTTTGTGCTTTGTACATTATTTGTGCTGTTTTAGGATACTAGATCACACAAGGCATGTCATTTCAGAACTGGTGAATACTGAATCTGAACTAATGAAATGTTCTTACAATCAGTTGCCAAAGGTTTGATAGAAACTGAGCACCATGACGTGAAGCTGCAGGAGAAGATGCACAGAGTAAGGGTGACGGCCTTCCTCAACGGAAAGATTACAAACTTAGTGGTGAGCTTTTCTTATGAAAAAATAAGCGTTCTACTCTTTATGTGGTTGCTCTATCAAACTTCTATTTTTCCCCTTTCCCTCTTGCAGACAAAGATGACGGCTTGTCCGCGAACACTGCTGCTGACAGGAATCCCCACCATCATGGATCGGGAGACTCTGCAGGATGAGCTGGAAATCCACTTTCAGAAAAGCTGCCACGGCGGAGGAGAGGTTGTAGCCTTCCTCTACAACCCGCTGGGTCAGCACACCTCGGCAGTGTTTGGGGGACCCCCCAAAAATACAGATAAGGAGACGGAATAATGTGTGAGGGCTAATGTGCGGCGGGGCGGTCATTATGGAGACAAGAACACCCTGAAGGATTATTACACGGCCACATCCTAAATAACTTACTATTACTCAACTACGTAACTTTAAATGAAGGGCAGCACTGATCGATAATAATTATAATAATAGATTTAATTTATTCTTTCCACCAACAAGTCTTCAAACAATGCCAGAGCAGCCCATATAGTGTTCCTGTTAGTGTTTACTTCCTGTCTGTCTTCTTTTGGGGATTTCTCTGAATTCCTGGGGTGTTATCGAGTATTAAGAACCTCTGAAATGTCCAAATTGACCAATCATAATCGAGTAATCAACTAAGCCGTGGAATAATAGAAAATACTGCTTTATCATATCTGTTCATATCAAAAATCTCTCAGGTTCAGGTTGAGATGTAACGACCCTTAATCCGTTTAAGTCTCTTTTTCTGTGAATGACATTTAGTATATTTGAGCTGGAAGTTCTGAGGATGATTTATGACCTCAAAAAAACATGTTTCTAGAACAAACGCTTTGCCACTCCTGGCACTATTGGTGATATCGATTCTGTCATTTATTGAACTTGAAGGAAATATTTATCTTGGTTTTTTTCTAGCAATTTTGAAAGAATAGCATTGAACAATACAATGTTATTGATTCCTCATTAACTGATAACCCGATCAATCAACAAGGAATACTTTTAAAGGTTTAATCTCATAAACATGTAAAAAGCCTGCTGTGATACTTTCCATCTTTGTTTGTTTTTACTCATGGAAAATCAAATGGAGACACAATCATGTTTGTATTTGTTTACATTGCTATAAATAAAACTCTTGCATTAAACAGTAGATTTCTTGTGTAGTTACAGTCATTGTAGCCAGTTAGCACGACACGGAGACAGCTCATTCTGTGCAAAGCTTAACAGAAATCTCAAAATCAATGCAGCATTGTATTACAACTTCAATTTCTATTTAATATAAAGATTTGTATGACATTTAAAGAATGTGGCGATTGTCAACTCAATAAAAAAGAGTGTCTTTTTTGCCCAGGGTATTAATAATACCTGGTATGCATTGTGATTCACTGGTTCTCGTGACATGGATGCTATTGAAACAAAAAGATGAAATAATCTATAAAAAAAAAAGTAAAATAATCTTTAAAACCGTTGTGCCTCATAACACACATTTATATTATTTTAGCAGAACTTTAGCAGAAGATAATACTGAGGTAATGAAACCCTGTGGGAACGACAGCACTGTTTACAAAGTAAATGTTAACCTAAAGATAACTTTAGTGCAGTAGTCCTAAAAGATTTTCTCAGCTGAAAAAGTTCTGACATTCAACAGAAAAGTTGAAGTAAAGAATGGATTTTTTTGATAAGCCTTCATTTTTTTAAATAGATTCAGTGTTTAAAAAAACAACAACACAGATAACAGCTGTAAGGGAAACTTCTGCAGCAATGGAGAGTCAGGACTCAGAGAGACACGAGGAGAGTTGGAGCTTTGATGTCAAACAATGATGTTTATTACAAGTCAACGGCCGGAGAGATTCATATCACAAGTCACAGCAGCAAAAGGTTCTCTCTCTCTCCCTCTCTCTCNTTCTGACTGCACGGGTGGGTTGTCATGTCAATTCTGCCCAGCCTATGTCTCGATAGACCTTTTAACTAGTTTACAGAGATTCAAATCCACATATTGGGGATGGGCGTAAACATCTGCAGACACAGGAGATGTCTCTCACATCTGTGGAGCTTAGAAAGCCAGCGTTCTCACAGTCGTAAAACCCGCCCTGTGCCCACCAGGTCAGGCCATAAAACCTAGTATCAACATACGACTGCATTAACACATTCCTTACGGGAGATTAGAAGCAGGTATGGTCGTAAATGTCAACACACAGAATAAGGTTAAATATTTTAGGAGTAAGGAAGAATTATTCTTTGACACTTAGGAGTAAGACAGAAATATTCCCTTACAAAAGCCACACCCAAATAAAAAGAAAATACTAGTTTGATAGTTTCCTTTGAGTCAACTAAATGAGGGATTAAAAAGATCTGGGGGCGGGGATAAAAACTGAGATAGCTCATCAAAACGACCCATTTCGAGTCTGATGGTAATCCACAGGTGGCATAAATAAATGATGTGTTATTTTAATTGAAACTTTCAAATTGTAATAAATACCCACTGATGTCACAAAGTACAAAGAGAGATTGAGCTCAGATCAGGTTTATTGTAAAAACAATACAGCCGATTAAAAGTAACAGCACATTTAGAAACGATTAAACTGACAAGGAATCGAGCTACATCCCCTAGTGCACAAACTGAAAACATAAAAACAGCAGCTGAAGATCCACCAGACGAAGGTCAGGCACTTAGACAGAAGAGAGGGACAGTATGTGTGTACAAATACATTCAAAGTAAGGAAAACCAGAGAGGAAAGTACACAAGCCCTATGATGCAGAAACCCTACTTTGGAAGACAGGATGCCTAATTTCACTTGAGACAAGGAAAAATATCAATTAAAAACCTCTAAAATAACAACACTATTGGTTACATTGTTTTTGATTACACACAAACTAGAGCCGGAGTAACTGCCAGCGTGTAACAGTCTTTCTCTTCTACAGCTCGTCGTCATTAGACCTTTTAATCTCTTTCTTTAGTTTTTGTGCAGTAATCTTCTTCACAAACAAAACCAACAAACCTAAACCTAAAAGCTGAGTCAAACCAGGTTTAAAATACAAACCTGACATTTAACAAGGTCAGTGCAAACTCTGGTGTCAAAGTGACGAGGCCCCATAAAAACTAACAGCGTGACTCTCTCGTATCATTATGTACACGGCCGTAACAAAACATTATCCTAAGATGCGTTTACAGGTTCTACTCACACGTAACAGTTAAAGGTTTTGGAGAATACACCACAAGTGGTTGCAAGTAGTACAGGTTATTGTTAATATAAGGTTTTCCTGTTGTGAAATAAGCTTTATGACGTTTGTGAATGAGAAACAGCACGTACAGACTGCGTGCTGCTAAGAGTTAAACTGTACTACACTGCAAATATTTAGCTGCTTTAATATTGCAAATATTTCACCTTCGAAATATTTCAGTTTGTGCCTTTCTTTTTTTAAATGCCAGGATGCAATGTCGATACAAATAAATGTGTGTGCTCTTTACCACAAGGAATTAGTTCAAGTATATATGTGTGGAGTGTATTTTCAATACAAATCAACCAGAATAGATTAGCGTTTTGAATATCCTTGAGTTAGTCTAATATACAGTATATTAGTTTTAAAATTGACTGCATTTGTTTTCCCGATGTTTTTCATAGAAAGCAGTTTCGACTGCATCATCCTAGTATATACCCAATAATAGGGTGGGGTCGAGTCCTAACATTGCATATTGTTAATATTGCTATCCAAAGCAAACCGTTACATTCATCTGTATTCCTATGAGAGTCCACAGAAAAGAGATGTGTAAAAGTCTACGAAGCCCGACAGAGAGGCACTGTCTCCTCGGCCGGTCGGTATGCAGGAGTGCATTGGTGGGTTGAGAGTGGGGGGGCTGGTAGTGGTCCAAACGGGACTGTTGATACAATTGGCATGTGCAGCACGGCCATTTAAACAACCACTGGGGCCCATTCACTTGATTTGCGTCCATACTGGGTAAAGTAAGGGAGAAAAGAGGGCAAAAATAAGCAATATGCATACAAAGTTGTATTCTTTAGAGAAAACTGCTACAAGGAAACTACTGTATTTTGATAGTTGTTATGTCATTAATGGAAGACACATTTTGAAAAACAATATCTATCGCCTTTCTCTGTTTAAATGAATTGTTTACTGATTATCTTTGGGTTTTGTACGTTGGGCTGAAGAAAAAGTGTCACACGTTATTTGTGTCATTATAGAGACTAAATAAATAATAAAAGGAAATAAAGGCACATTTATAGAAAATGTGTGTACTGCAGCCCTGATTTAAGTCAATAAATGTCTACCTGAATTACAATATATGCCCTAAATTGCAGTGAGAAATGTGGACCTTGCACTTTCACATTCTGCCAGTTTTCTTCAGCATCAAGGTTTTAAATATTAGCTGAAGTTGAAAAGCTGAAGATGGATATTTGCAGATATCTTATTTAGAGTAGTTCCCTTTTGTTGCCACTTGGAGTCGCCAATATTTAAGTAGAACTGCAACAGTAAAGGAGCTGTTGCACACTGTGGTGCACTTACCTGAATGTCAGTAAGCTCTTTGTGGAACCTCTTAGCCAGACCGTTCTGTATAGTCGGGACCTGGTACGTCTGAGAGAGAAAGAAACATTGAGTCCTTTAGCCCACACTGCTACCCAGAATGATCCACAATCAGTGAGTTTAAATCTTCATCATCAGCTGCCAATGGGGTGACACTACGTCGATTAATCAAGTATTGCAGTCAAGTACAAATTCAACGCACTTTAACTTTACTTAAGTATTTCCATTCTGTGCAACATTACACCTAAACAACACTCCATCCAAGAGATATATCCGCTGCATATGTTTGACAGCTTTAGTTACTTTTTAGATTACACATTTTCACCTCCTTCCTGTCCTGAGAAGACCATTTATCTTCAGATGTGGTGATTATGAATTTTGTAAGAAAAACTGAAGGCGTTGAAAAACCGTTTTAAGGTAAACAAACAACGCCATTTTAGAGATATGTGGTTCTCACTGGACAGCGTCATTAAAGATATATGATGATCTTAAAGAGTATGATGGCTTGTTGGGGATTATACCTGACAGTATATAAATGAGTTCAGATTAACACAACCTTTAACATCAACAGGAGTCAAATGCAACATACAGTTGTATTATTCCATAAACATCATATATAATAGTAAACACTCACAGGGAATATTTCCTGCACAAGGACTAGTTTTACTTATATGCCAATTACAGGATAGAATGAGCTATTCTCAACAGAAGATAGAGAAAGATAACTTTGAATTCACAAAGAGGACATGAGAAGGCAGGCACAGCAGCTGAGCTCCTACCGTTCCCCTGTAGAGGAGGCTGCCCACGGGACACACCACGCAGGCCGTCCCCGCCCCGAACACCTCCAGGACCCTCCCAGAGTCCAGAGCCCCCAGCAGCTCAGGCATGCCCATCGTACGCTCCGTCACCTTGAACTCACCCTGACAAGACACACAGAAAGCTATTTATTCATATTTCTTTAAAAACATTTTTGGTGCCGTAAAGATTTGACGTGATTAATGATCCCCATGTTACACACAGGAGGAGTGGGATTTTCCCAATAAACAAAGTACAGACATTCCAAAAATAATCCCTCTCAATGGTCACTTATTTTTCTTTCAGAGCTGATTACCAGCACCCCTCAGAGTTAACTTCAACCCCCAGGTTGGCAAACACATATCGACTGTTACCAAGTGACCAACAAATGCAATAAGGGGACAAATTCTACAGTTTATCCATCTGGAACATTTAGACGTAATCAATCAACATTTGGAGACATTAGCAGCAGCTCAGGGAGACTGCAAAGAGGTCACAACGTCTGACTCACTGTTCTATAAACACGTGTTGAAAATGCCTCTTTACAAATCAGACTGTGCCACAATAGTTCTCCGTTTGCATTTTCTGACAATTTGAGGAGTACGGAGAAAAATAATAGGGATGTGAAAATTAAACATCTGTGCTGTTGAGTCCATGTGAGAGCTCAGTCTCCTCTCTGGTGGTCTTACCCAGCTTCTGGACAGGTCCAGCAGCGACTGTCTGGTCACTCCCGGGAGAATGATGCCATCCAGAGGGGGGGTGAACAACTCTTTCTCTGCAGACAAACAGTTTTATCTTCGGTCAATTCACAAGGTGTTTGAATGTTTCCACAAAAGGCAGTGATTAACAGGAAACCTCAGAAAAAACATTTCAGAGTCTAGAGAGGAGAGTCTGACCTCCGTTCTCATTGGTCCAGTAGATGAAGAGGTTCATGGTGCCGACCTCTGTGATCTCCTCCTGCTCTCCGTACAGCCACAGCACCTGCTGGCACCCCCGCTTCACCGCCTCGCTCTGCACCGCGATGGTAGGGCCGTAGTTACTGGAGAGGGGAAATAAACCAAAGACAACGTGTCAAGAGTGCATCTGGGAGAGAGGGAGACATGTCCAAATGACAGAGGTGTTGCTTGGGTATTAAGACATGCTGTATACCTTTTTTATTTCAAAAATATTAGATATTAGTATTAAAATATTACAATCTTATTTAATTACAGAGGATATCAGAGTTTGTTCACCGCCTCACCTGTTCCTCAATAGTTTTTGATGTACAAACGAGACATTTAAGTGTTTCGGTGTTTTAGTTTTTCTGAGTTATGAAACCAAACCTTTACCATAGGTTGGGTTTTTTTTTGTACTGAGAAGGAAGCATATTGGGGGGAAATATATCATCCATGTGAACAATAGAGGACTTGGAACATTTTTGTTGATTCATTTTATCCGAAGGTAAAAAAAAAAAAACTAGCTTCCTTGAACAAATAACAAAGAACCATTTGTCATCTTCTTACTGAGATTGAATAACCACCTAAGAAAACCTGAAGCGCTGCTTTGACTTGTTATTCTCTCCGCGGACGTCAGGCCGAGGTGGAGGTATAGCAACTGTTTTTAAGAGTGACTATAAATGCCAGCAGCTTTCACTGACATTTTCACCCGGCAGCTTTGAACTGAGCGTGTTCGAGCTTGGTCGTTCTCATACAGTGTGCTGTGGTCTATAGACCTCCCAAATACAATAAGGGATTTTTAAACGATTTCTCGGATTTCTTGGCTGAAATTATGCCAAAATATGATCGTGTTCTTATTGTTGGGGATTTTAATATTCACGTGTGTTGCCCCGACAAAGCTATGGCAAAGGACTTTTTAGACCTTGTTGATTCCTTTAATCTTGTGCAGTCTGTGTCTGGCCCAACGCAGGAACGCGGACACACACTTGATCTTGTTCTGTTTTATGGTTTGCCGGTTCTTAACCTGGAGATTTGTGACGCCTTTCTCTCTGATCATATGCCTGTGTTATCTGATGTGAGTCTTTCTTGTGAAACGGTTAAACCGCGCGCTGCCGGGCAGTTCTCTGTCGCTTTTAAACAGAACTGTGTGAATCGGGAACCTATGTCACCTGAAACGGATGAACTTAGCTCATGGTTTCACTCTACTTGCAAAGCTACCATAGACACTGTTGCTCCTTTAAAAACCAGGCAACCTAAAACTAAATCTGAGCCTTGGTTAAATGACACGACTCGGGCTGTCCGACAGGATTGCCGTAGAGCTGAGCGTAAATGGAAAAAGGACAAACTGCAAGTTTCATTTGAAATGTTGAGGGAGTGTTGGTGTTTCTATCAGATCACTGTGAAAGAGGCAAAAAGCAAACTTTTATCTGACATCTTTCTGTCAAATCGTCAGACTATTGATTTGGTCCTTAATGCCCCCCAGAATACCGTTATGGAGACCTCTACCGCGGTCTGTGAAGATTTTCTTCACTTTTTTATGAATAAGGTAAACTCCAGCTCAAATCTCTGCTCCTGCAATTGACCCCTCAGTTCCTGCACCGTGTTCTGCTGTCTTTATTCAGTTTGATCCTGTAGCTCTGTCTTTTGTACAGGAGACTGTCTCCAATTTAAAGCCCTCTGGTTCTCCAAATGACCCTGTCGCGCCTCGACTTTTTAAAGAGGTTTTCCCCACTGTTGGACCATCTGTGCTGGCAGTTTTAAACAGCAGCCTGCTCTCAGGGAAGGTCCCCGAAAACCTGAAGCATGCAGTAGTGCAACCTCGTANTCTCCCATGTTCCCCTTTAAACTGTTGGTTTTCTCTGGAAGTTTTTCCTTGTACGATGTGAGGGTCTAAGGACAGAGGGTGTCGTGTTGTCATACTGATATTCTGTACACAGTGTGAAGACCACTGAGACAAATGCAACATTTGTGAAATTGGGCTATATAAATAAACATTGATTGATTGATTGATCCTCCCTGAGGATTTCTGAGGACGAGGTTGGGTAAGAACTTACAGGAAGGCAGCTTCTCTCAGCGCTGCGGTGCATCCTCTCCATGTTCAGCATGGGTCTGAACAGACGGACGTGGTTGTCAACTCCACGGAAAGCCTTCATGCCTTCAAACAACTGCAGAGACAGAAAGACACAACACGTTTAGTATCAGAAAGTTGATCTCCAACTGATATCAAGAGGGTTTCTCGTTGAAAACAGCAACAATTGAAATGTCTTTGTCGATTTCATTATTTCAAATAGCACTCCATTTGATTTTAGGCTAACCACTCAGGTTTCCCTGCAACTAAATGGCTGAAGTTAAAGCTGTATCTATTTTATTTTTTACATTAAAAGCTACTGAGTTTTTTAATTAAGCTTTGAATATCTGTTATGACATCATTACCTTGATAACAAAATTAAATGTGATTATATGTTATTTATGTCTGTTGCTGCAAGACCACCCTGTTTATACAGGTTCATGTCTCCCTTTGGGTGTTTTTTTTTACCGCAGTTAAAAAGTTGATGCTGAAAGGTTAAACGCCAACAAATATTGAATGAAACTAAAATGTTTTGTGAATCTTGGAAATGATTCCATCTTTGTTTATTTACTAATAAATTATGACTTTTTGATTTTTTGGAGAGGTCGGTAGCAATCCTACTCAGTGACCACTGGAACTTCATTCTACAAATAGCATAATACTAAGATCATTATTCCATCCTTATCTTTATGTGCAGAAATATCAGTTTAAACAAAATGAATAGACATTAGAGAAAAGAGAAAAACAACATTTGATGCTAATATGCAATATGAATGTCAATGCTAAGAATGAAGCTTCGAAGACATGAACGTTAGTTATAAATCCAACCCAACAATCATGGTTACATGGATACATGGTTGATAACGAAACATCCTTTAATTTGTAAGAGAAAGTAAAGACAATTACAAATAAAACATATGCACAAAATATTTGAGTGTATACTTACTTCTATGGAGTAGTGCAGGGCGGAGCTGGCCGGGTGCAGCGACAGGTTCTGGAAAGGTTTGATCTGAGGAGCCTGCCAGCCGTCCTTCTCCGACCAGTTGATGGTCAACATGTGGTCGGAGAACTGTTTTCCGAACACCAAGGTGGAGGGGTCGGGCTTCTGCTTACATGCTGCATTGCGTTCAATGACAAGATCTGCTGCCTGATGTGCAGACGGAGAAGCAAGCCGGACACGGCGGAGGAAAGCAAGAAGTGGACGGAACAAGAGCAGAGCGGGCGACGAGTACAGTGATTGTTTTTAAATCAATAATTGACAGAGCATGCTTAAAAGGACAATTAGTTGAGTGTTATAAAGAGTCAGCTGAGATGCTGACTCATCTTGGCAATTAGAGACAATTAATTAAGTTAAGTTAAACTGAAATAAATTATTACAACAGGCAGACAGTGAGGGAAAGACAAAGAGGAAAAGAAACGTCAAGTTTTATGCAAGTTAATATAGACTTACTCCAATACCGTAGAGAGGCCTATTTGAGGTTATGTATCTTTCCTGAGTAAGATTACTTCCTTCTTTTTATGATGAGGAACACATTATGCTCTGTCGGACATTAACAGGCCAGACAGACCATCAATCAAACAGTTTGGAGATGGGACAGGCCTCGACTTGTCGAAAAGAACATATCTCTCATTACCTTAAAGGAGCTGGCCAACCGCAGTGAGCCAAAGGAGAAGGGGAGGGCCTGGAGAAGTCGTCCATGAAGTGCCTGCAAAACAAACACAACAGAAACTCTTTACTATTTATACACAATAACGGTAATCACAAGCAAAAAGGTTTGAGGTCCAGACACCATGTTGCAATACTTCATAGATCTATCATCTATTCAGGTAACCACAATCCAATCAGCTGAGGCGATACACAAGGTCACCATATATGACATTGTGTGATTGTGCAAGGTGAGAAACTAGTTGGGAGGGTATCTGTGGCAAAAGGGCCAAAGAAGCCACTAATAATAATGTAACTGATGTTCTTTCTGTTAGTCTACTTGTGATTTTGGTAATTTAGTATACAAGGGTGATCATTAACAGTAACATTCACAATACGGTGCTGATCATTTGACTTAGTCATATGCTCATTTGACTTGGCAGTGTTCTAGGGAACCGCCTACTTGATGCTTAAGAAATTCCAAAGAATTACAGCGACTAGGGAGCAGGATCCCGTGTGTGCTCTTTGCTGAATGGATGGTGCAAGTTCTGACATTATTGCGATCATATGTCTATGCATGTATATACATGTTTACTTTGTGACATGCACGTATAAATCAGATTCATGACTGATCTTGTTGCTTCTCAATTGTGACCCACTAAAGTGAAATGAAAGCAAGTGCTGGTTCGTATTTGTGCATATCAGAGCCAGTAACAAACCAATGTTCATATCCTGCAATCAGATGCAAAACTCAGGTAAAACTCAGGTAAACTCAGTAATATGACCATTCAAAGAAAACTCGATGCTGTCATTGCCTATGAATTACTTATAATACAGTCTCGTGATCCTAAACAGCAGAAGGATACATGCTTTTGGCATACTAGTTATCTAACTATCATCTTATTGACTTGACTGCCAGCATCAACCAAAACCGTGCAAGATATGTAAAATGTTTACTTTTCAAAATGTCCACAATATCTTTCTTTTTTTTGCAGCCGAATTCTATATATTGCACAAAGAAGATTTACAGAAGACATTAAGTTGTGTTTTAGGAGGAGATTATTTTTTGCTCATCATCAATGCATTTCTAGTTTCCACTCTTTTCTCATGGAGTTTGGTGTGTTGACCTTTCCATACTGCATTGTTTTTGCCCCCTCCGTGCTGGCGGGACATCGCACGGTGCAAAGCATTTAAAGGACTGGTTATCTTTCTCTGTCATTATCAGCTACCTTATCACTGTATTAAATGAATGATTTACCCAGATGTTCATGTAAACAGATTATAAACAGCACACAGACGGTCGATGAACTCACCGTTCGCAGGACTGCCATCTCCGCTACGTAACGATGTGAAAAGCGCGATTATTTGTTCGTGTGGAAACAACCACTCAAAGTCAACTTGAGTTCCGCTTTGAAATTCGAGACGCTGTCCGGCTGAGTTGGTGCAAGCTGAAAGCAGAAACCTCCCAGAAATAAAATGTCCCTCGTTATAGTCCTTTAACCAACACACTCAATATACTTTTTGAAGGGTTTATTATGACTCGTTTATTTTGTTCGTGCCTGTCCTTTCTGGGTAAATAATTAAACATCACTTGCACTGTTCTGTAATAAAAACAATAGTGTAAGAGGGGAAAAATATATATAAAATCAGTTTTATCATACAAAACACTAACTATAATGACTGGTTTTCATTCATGAAGTCATTGAGGGCGTGACAAAAGCGTAACATCTGATTGGCGGACAGCAGCAGGCTCATAGGGGGAAGGTTATTCGAGGTCACACTGGTCGATGCGGATTGGTCGCCCGCTGGGGAGGTGCAGCTCGTCCTGTTTCACACAGGTTTCACACATGGGCACAAGAACCTTTCTCATTTCACTAACTTCCTCTCCTCGAGTCCTCGGTCCTCCGGAAGTGACCCGGAAATGGTTTTCGGCGCGCCATGTTGAAGGACATCTCGGCCCATTCCCAAACCGCCCCCTACACCCTACCCCTCCGTTTGCGCGTTCGCGCGAAGTTTCCGCCATATTAAGTGCTGTTCCAAACCAACGAGTGTGGAGGGGGAGTGGGCTATCAAGCCCTCAAACAGCGAGTCTGCAGCGGTGCTGACTTGAGACCGGTCTCTATCTGACCGGAGTCACGCTGTGTGTGTCCGTCAGGAAACAAGCTGTTAACAAGTAGTTCCAGCAAACATCCACTGATAAACTGCGATGGTAACAACCTCATGATAACCTCATATGTTTTTAACTTAGGATCATACCTGTGTTTAGTCTAGAAAAAGGTAAATGTGTGCATTTTATTATAAAGTTGTGTATATTTACAGACTGTTGTAAAAACTAAGAAGCTTATAAACATCAGGTTTAAAACTAAAAGAGCTTTGAAACACAATGAAAGATGTTTGGAGTTTTATTTGAGTTATTAATTTAAA